AACATCAGCAAATGCTGATCTTTTAAAATTTCCTGGCTATCTAGGGAGCATATCTGAAAGAATATCCTGTTACTTATGCACCGTTTCCTGAACATCTACAAAATTTCCTTAAGTTTTAGAAAATTTACTCAAATTTCAAAGTACCTTGAAATTAAACGAGGTTCCAAAATCTTCATCTTCAGGAAGTTCATTGAGATTTTTAAGATCTCTGACAAACTGCTATGAAGTTCCCTAAACTGAAACGATGATCCCTGAAGTCTTTTATCTTTACCAAATTCCCTGAACTTTTTCAAGATGCCCTGTACTTCTATGAAGTTATACGCAGTTCCTCGAATTATTACGCAGTCCACAAAACTTCATCAAGGCTTGCTTCACATCTACGTTTCTCGTTGATTTTCCGCAAAGTTCGACGCTCGAAATTTCCTGAATTTGTGCGGAATTCTTTGAACTATTTCATCATGAGGTTTCATCAAAGCTCTGAAGTTATAAAAAGGTCCCTGAATAATAAAGAGGTTCCCTGCCATTAAACAATAAACTTCTACGAAGATACCTAAACTTGTATAAAGTTCCCACTTCTACGAAGTTTTCTGAACTTTTCCATGATCTCAGAACTTCAAATAATTTCACTAAATTTAGCTCATGATTCATCTGACATATGTTGGTCTTAATGCATAAAACAAAGTATAATAATAATACCAAAGAAACATTCAAAATCAGAACAGTGTTCTAGTGAAAACAGTTAACGGAACATTAGAGTCAAACGAAACATAAGTGTTACTAATCACATTAGCAACAGTATGATTAGCCTCATTCAGCCCATACTGTCAATTACGAGCTGCAAGGTGTATGAAGTGTCGTTGTCTTATAACTTTTTCAGGTACGAAGAAGAAGAAGAAGAGTTACCGAAGCAGTTCGATGAAACTCTACGAAGTTCACTGAAGTTCGGTGAGCTTCTACAAAGTTAGCTGAACTTTAAAGTCACATTAGCATCTGCACTTCAAGAAAGTTTCCTGAACTTTTAAAAAGTTCCCTGAAGTACCACGAAGTTTCTTGAAGAACTACAAAATTAGCTGAACTTTAAAGTTACATTAGCATCTGCACTTCAAGAAAGTTTCCTGAACTTTTAAAAAGTTCCCTGAAGTACCACGAAGTTTCTTGAAGAACTACAAAATTCCCTGCAACTCGGATAGCAGTTCGTACCTTGCTGTAGTGGCTGTAGGTGCATTGCCAGACAGCACCAGCAAATCAACAGAGGAAAGGTGCTGCATGAAGAGGTGGTGATAATGGACGTGCCCTCAGGAGCCCGAAAAAGCATGCAAAAACGAACATCAGCATCCTCGGCAGAAAGGGTTTGCGGATCTGTCGAGATTCGATGCGTTGGAAGCATTGATCTCCATAGACCTCCATTATAATATTTGTTTAGTCCTTCGGCTCCGCAGAGCCTTCAAAGATATTGAGCCTGCTGAATAAACATTTTAGAAAACATGGTTTTCGATTTAGATACTGACCGTTGAGTTTGACAAATATGTTGGATTCATCCCAAAATTTACATTCCAGTTTTTTTATTTCTCATCATATTTTCAGGTTGACAACTACTTGGGACGAACACACCATGCTTTTTGTCTAAATATATTTGAACAGTTCTCAAATTTAAGTACATGTTTGAATCATATGATGTCGGCTACAGCTTGAAAGGCTGGAAATACTGATGGATGAAGTCACACGAATCAATTTCCACAACGAAGTTTTTTTTAAAGGGCCCTCCGAACTATTGGTTCTCTGCCAGCTGCAAAATACCTATCAATTTGACCTACCAAGATCAATCGGATTCAAATCAGGCTAATCAATATCCCAAAATTTGAGCTAGTTTAGTGAAACTGATTCTGCACTGGCTCTTTGAAGTTTATATGGGAATTAATATAAGAAAAGTGTATTTTTTGTCCTCATCGTTCTAGCCCTGCACCATAATGACTTAGGGAATAGTTGTCCATCAGAGCCCCCCCTTTTACGTGAAAATTTCTGAGTAGTAAATGAACCATGTCAGAAGAACATCATCTTCCTAATCAATTAATAACTAATTATCCTAACGTTCAATTTTTCAATTCCCACATAAACTTCAAGTGCAGTATGAGTTCGCATCCTAATGAGAACAAATTTTGTGAGAATGATCAGGAGCTGATTTGAAATCATTTGAACTTGGTGGAGCTAAATCAATATTTTGAACCATGAAAATTCCATGCGCATGGATCGGTAACAAATCTTCCGCTTGAAATACTTCTATAAAACCACAATCTCTCAACCCTCAAAAACTGAATACCAACTGATTGAAATCAATCAGTTGTACCAGCAATGTTACCACGAGAATGTTACAGGACTACAACAGTTCTCTGCTGTTTTTTTTATCACCAATCACCAACCAACCAACCAATCATGCACGCAGGACGTAGGTACACTGCCGATCTCACGACACGAATGAGCCACGTAGGAACAAAAAAGAAATAATACGTCTCGAAATGTACCAGGCACCTACGATCTTATTGAAAGCGTGTCTCTATCACGCGGGATGGATGCACGTGTACATTAACTCTGCTCTGGATAATATTGATTCATTCCTATTTATAATAGTTTCTTCCCTTTGGAGCAGCTACGAGCACCAAACCCAAACCCCATTTTCCCGAAATAAAAAAAAAATATTATCTTCGTTAATTTTGAACGGACTTCTGGTGTTCAGAGGTTCTGATTTTTGACTGACTAATTCGGAGGGGCTACAAGGAGCAAAGTTTGCAGAAACTGTGGGATTTCTATAGTGATGGTGAAATTAATTAAAAGCTAATGTGTGGGTGGAAAAGTCTAATAATTTATTTAACTGGAATTATGGTGCGTGTTGTTTGACCGCGATGGCGGTCCGTGGCTTGATCAGTCCGTCGACAATGGTGGATCGGTGCCTTCGACTGGTCTGAAAGATGGCTCCTGGTGACAGGAGCTGTGGTCACAAAAATGGCTTGGGTTTGCGCGTTGCGATGGCGGTTCGCAACCAGGGAATGTAGCGATCCCTGTGCAGCTACCAAAGTAGCCTCTTCTGGGTCAACGGCGTCTCCCTTTGTTGGCAAATATCGGCCACCTTGGTCGAGCCGAAAAGGGTCTTCCTCCTTCTCAATTAGGACCGCGTCCGAGGATGCTCTCTTGTCTGGCGTTTATTAAGCCGGATAGTGGAAGGTTCTTGACTTTTAGACCAAGACAGTCGTGACTGACTTGGTCGAAACGTGCCGATCGTGAGGATCTATACGTGGAACATAAAAAAAGGTCCTGAACGAACACCAAGAATAGAAAAATGTCGTTCACTGCACTTTGAGGCACTTTGCTCGGTTGACTTTTGTACTTTAGACTTACTATCCACTCACGTCTTGTAAGCACAAACACCGGTTTACTTCTCAGCATCCCAGATCTATTCCAGATATCAAAAACCCTCCGTTCCTTATTTCCTCCATTTTCCCTCCTTGTAGCTTATCATCACCCATCCATACCATCTCCTATTCAGTTTTCCTTCCACATTTGATCCCAACACGCTTGCGATCCTGTCTCGCCCAATTATGGTTATAAAAATATCGATTTCAAACTAATCCTACTAACACAAATTTATACATTTTCCCATTACAACAATTTTACCAACAATCCTACTAATCCTACTAACGCAACACTGACACAAAACACTACAGTTCCTTAAAACAACTTGCGCAAATTAAAATCTAGGACATTGTAACTAAACGGTTACACGTTACTGGCTTTAAGATCTACCCCCGAAGCCAACTCCGAACTGCTTAAAATAAGGGGAACAGGATTTTATTTTGTTATCAACGGATCACATCTTAGTACTTGTTACTTTTTTATGCCTTGTTGATAGTGATAAGACTCTTTGTCGATCTAGGATGATCTTGAAGCAAGGTAAAATGAGGTAGGTAGTTATTTTTCATCTCCATGATTCCTAATCTTTTATACGCTATTCTCTAGTTTGAATTGGTTACGAGCGGGACCTTACATTTAGAGTCGAATCCTTGCGATAAAGGCAAGAATGACAACTGTATCAAAACCGAATACTTCATCATATCTCAATAGTGATGGAGTAATATAGCATGCCCTAAACGGCGTATACCACAGTCGATCAAATAACTGTTCGCAGTTGTTTTTGAATCCGCACCACTAGACTTATAATACGTAATTGAAAATATTCAAATTAATTACGAAAATATAACGCTTTGTAGATTCTGTTCCGTAAAAACCTAACCGAAATAATGAACATCGGGTAAATGCATAACTTAGTGAAGGAGAAGGTCCTTTTTCGTAGCTTCATGTCGGGTTTGAAAGATCGCCGGCGACGACTTGTTCTGGTGTAAGGGACACCGCCGTCGGGTTTGAACGGTAATAGCATTAGCTTCATCATAACTGGTGTGTTCTGATATGAAGGGCTCGGTATCGTAAGAGAGCCGTTTTCGTTTACTTAGCAGGAAATCGTGGGATCGATGCCAGGCCCCATAATATTAAAGAGTATCTCCTAGCCAAATTGCTTGCTCATCGTGTTTTGTGAAAATTATCGTCCATGTCGTCGTCACCAGGCTACAACAAGTCCATCATAAGTAGTTTGATCTTATATGAGGGACTCAGTGGCCTTAGAGGGACCGTTTATGCTTACTGAGCTCAATATCATGAGTTAAGCCCTTCCACATTCAAGATTTGAGCAGCCTAATTGTGCAAAAACAAAATTATAGACAAAAAGTTCAATTTGATGACCAAAAATTGTTCTTCTTCGATTCTTGGGCTACACGGAGCGTCAACAAGAAGATTTCAAGTGATCTCGTAGCTCATAGTGTTTCAAATGTTTCCGCTATTCCGAAAATTCAGAAATTCTAGAGATGTTGAGTGATCCAAAAATAAGTGCGAATCCCCAGTTGAAACAGTAACTTTATGTTGAAGCCTAGGGAGTTCTCTCTAGACAATAGAAATACCTGTGTTTTGATCCATTCGTCGAACTTGGAAAGGTTTTCAGGTTTCTAGAAAATGAAAATAAAGATGAAATGATCAAAATTAAGGGATGTAAATGAATCGATCGTAATAGTTTATGTGGGAACAAAACCAAGTTCATAAAATAATTGAAATGAAAATTGTTGTTCAAACGTCAAACCCATTCCGCAACTTTTTAACTATATCCCTTATTTTTGAACAGCGCAAAATCGTCACAGTTTGAGTTTTTGAAAACTGATAGATCACCCCAGTAGGGTGGAGAACGGTTTCGCCCCTACATTTCTGATTAATTTTCTTTAAAAAAAAACTTGTGCTTGGAATCGGGTCTCTGGTACAGAAGCCGTTCACCATCCTCTGTGAATTTTCGATTAAAAAAAAAAGAAGTTTGATGCCTAACTACATAAAAATGCATGAAACGTCTAGATCTGATGTTATCTCGAATTGGGTTCTTTAATTTTGAAAAATATATCGGCTTTTATATATCATCTGAAAAAGCTTCGTTTTCTGAGCACAGCGATATTTTTTTTCAACCCCACGCACTTTCATCTCGATTTTTAAATCATGATTTAAAGCAAAATAATAACTTTACTGTTTGACACTAAAGTGACAAACTGACAGCTCGCTCCCATACAAAGTGACACCGAGGGTCGCTAATAAGGTGATTTTTGCAAATGTAATCGTACTTATTTAAAATAGTTCCAGTGTGCCAAAATTGATGAAATTTTAGGTTTGGGTTCCATTTTTAATGCAGATTACGAATATGCATTTACCTCAATACCCTTAAAGAACCCAATTGATTTATTTTTTTTTGTCAAACATCAACTTTCTGGGGCTTGAAATTTCGTCGTGAATGGCAAGTGGGATATGGAACATTGATGAATTGTCAGGGTGTCATTTTAGGCACCTTCATGTTTCATTTGTAGTCAATAGATTAAGAATCAGTTCAAATATGGATTTTTGGGAGCAAGTTGCAGTTTGGGTCTTTTTTCACCAACTAATGCTCAATGTGTAACTTTTTTCTAATGTATTTGGAAGCTTAAATATATTTCTAAAGATCATATGTTTAACATTTATTTCTGAAGATACATACAACAACAAGGTTCAGGGCCTTTTGAAAATTTTCAGAGTTTCTACAGAAAAAAAATCAAGATTAGGATCAATGAAACTTTTCATAACAATGTAACTAAATAGCACAGTGTTACAAATCAATTGTCAAATATAGTTCATGATCCCGGATTTCAAAAGTGACAGGAAATCAAAAACTTTGCAAAATTTGACGCAAAAGAAAATTTTTAAATCCGATAAGTCCATGCTTCAGTGTTCACTCGGCTGTCGACAAAAGCAGGCCACTCTCGATGTGTGCCACGCGATCGTCTGTTTTCTCGGCAGCAACCATTGTGTGGTCCTCCTCATTGTTCTTCATCAGCAGTTCTTTCGGTCGATGCGTCGTCGACTTTGGAAAGCAACCGTTTCGTGATGAGTGTGTGAGTTCTGACCACGTTTTGCGTCCATTGCTGCAATGGACGCGCTCTGACCCTCGTTGGCGTACAACAATTTGCCATACAATGAAACCACTGGAAGCGGCTCCAGTTCTGATGGAGGAGGCTTTTTGGATAGCGGAAGATAAAGTGTTTATTGTGTTGTACCTTTTGACTATAGTTTTAAGATGTATTGTATAGTGACCAAGAATCCTCGGCTCTGTAAAGTTAATTCGGTTGAGCCTTATCAAATAAATTAATAAACAAAAAAAAGAAGTCCATGCTCCAAGATTTTACATAAATAAATTCAGCAATCGACTAAATTTTCAAAAGCGACCAAAAATATTCATTAGTACCGTCCCAATGACGCGTTCATCTAGATAAAATTGATAAATAGCAGATTTTTAGCGATGGGCCCAATGTTATCCCATTTCCCCTATGTATCAGACTTAAAATTAATTTTAAAAACAGATAATAAAATAATATATTACATTGAAAAGTTTCGCGCAGGACTCTACATTTTCGAAGCTCTAAAATGAGCTCGAGTTTTGTTTCTTTCATACAACGTGGTCACGACATCATTTATATAATGCCTAGCTAGGCTTTCAGCACGAAACGAAAATGAAAAAGAAGCACGCTTAGAACGAAAGACTGGCTGTGGATTTTCTCGTCGTTGCTTTGCTCATCGCTTTCAACGCTTTCGTCGGTTTTGTAGTTAAACGAAACATCATTATGGCTTTCAATCCGCTTCACCGCTCTTTCAATTTGTTTAAGGTGATTCCTGGAAGAGTCCAAAGATGGCTGTCTGATGGCTGATATGCTCTATGACTTCAAGTTTTTAAGAGCACAAATCTCTGACACCACGCATGAAATTGGAACTCCATGTTTGCTGCATTGCAGCAACCGGGACGGGAGAAAGAGAGATAAGCGATTAAAAATTTGTTTATAGACGCCGACTTTAATAGAAAAAAAAGCTAACAGTCTCTTCATCGCATCGATTTTGTCGATTAGCTGATATTGTCACGCCCTCGATTCGATACCATAAAATGTCGACATCACATTTACTCAAAATGTTTGGTTTTTCACTAAAGCCATTATATTTCAACCAAATTTTCCTTTGAAGGTATCTGTACATCATTGAATATTCAATGTAGTCAATACAATGACTACAACTACAACTGCAAAGTCAAATAAATTTAATTAAAATAAGAAGCCATATATTGTTTATTATTTGTCGCCATCATTTAAAAGCCTTCAACGAGCTCATGGTTAGACCACCGTTATTTTCAATCTGAAGTCAACCCGACCAATAATTTGACCTGTTTGTTTTAAAGTTAAATAAACTGTTTTAATTGAATTACATTCAATCAAAGTGTTTTGTTACTTAATACGTGAAGTTTAAGATTTTCAGAGTTGGGAGGAAATGCTATACTAATATCAACATGAAGCTTTAGTGCGATAGCTTATAAGCTAGATAATGTTCTGCAGAGGATAGATTGATAGTTCCGCTATAGTACAACTCATACAGTGATGGATGAGGGGATTTGAGGTATGTCCATTCACATATCAAACATATACATACCTTAAATCCCCTCATACATCAATGTATGAGTTACGTAAAGGAGAGTGCATTTGATTAATATTGTCGCATTAATGGCCCTTCGCTCAATTTCAACTTCTGTTCGATGTTCACACCGCCGTACTCTAGTGGAACTATCAATCTATCCTCTTCAGAACTATCTCTAATCTCTAATAAATTATCGCACTAAAGCTTAGAGATTCGGAATGCAAGACAATATTACCAAGGACAGAAGTATACAAACCGACAGGAGCAGGTGGCAGAAGAGACCGTGATAACAAACTACAAGCAACAAGTTTGGCAAGGTTCCCGAAATGTGCATCCACTGGGGATCGTCAAAAGCCTGGAGTATGGGGATTTGAAAGGATCCTACATGTAACATGAGGGAAGAAGCAAACAAAGATAAGTTCAGTTCTTTTTAGAGGTGGGCAAAACAGCTCATCTGGCTGAGTGGATCAAATCTATCCAGCTCACTAAAGGGAGTCGATTCTTTGGAACAGCTCTTCAGCTCACATTGAAATTATAGAAATTATGACACAAATTCAAAACCGGAAATTAGTGGTTTTAGTGCTTAAAACTGCATAAAATAGTAAAAGTAGTCTAAACCAATAAATTCGTACCTTACAACATGGCTCGCGTAAACATACATATTTTATTTTTGATGTTAATTCTCCAGCAGAATGTCTCTCACTATTCTCGGCTTTAGCTCCAGATCATCATCTCAGAACCGGATCCGAATCTGAATCGTGAAGAATCTCGAGAGAAAAGAAAGATCCAAAGAGCTGGACGGGTCCGAGAGTTGTCATCCTAAACAGCTCCCATTGAATCATTCGAATCGATGATTCGGATCCGGAGCTGAGCTGATAAGCTGGAGAGCTGCATATCGATTTTCGGTTATTTGTTTTGTGCGGATCTTCCGCTCCCCCAGAGAATGATGGGAGGAGAGGTGAGAGCACATATGCTGGAGGAAAAACATCAGCAACAAAGCCAAGTACATCAATGAATTGGATAATACTAGATAATTAACATCGTGTAGCTTGGAAGATTGCTTTTATCGTTGGTGCTGTCGATCAGTAGGCACATGTTGTATTGCACGCGTGTCTTGGTTTACGAGGTTCTTTTTTGAAAAGTTCCGTTATGAGTGATGGATTGAATGGTTTAGACTTGTGATATCAGTGAGCTGATGAGCTGCGGTTCCTAAAAAAAAAATGAACAGCGGGTCATCAGCTCACTTTAGAGAATCGGGTCTATAGAGCAGCTCGGGAGCGAATTGCCCATCTCTAGTTCTTTTAGATGGATCTATCATTTGATGTTCTGCTCATAGTCATAAGTGCTTGTGTATGTGTGTGTGTGTTTTTTTGGGTTTGTGTACCTTTTCTGGAGTAGCATGTCAGAAGGACCGAACTCTATGTTAACAGTTTTCGTTAAAAATGAATTTCTAATTTAGGTAACGTTATAAAAAACATTGAGGACCATTAAAAGAAACGCTAACACGTAAGCTTAAAATGAAATATATCATACCCTTCGAAAAACTATTACCAACGTGTAAAAATGCGAAAAAGTGAAAACAAATCGTAATAGTCCCTCTATACTCCATAACTTTAGTTAGACCCTTTCTGTTAGCCCGTATTTTGTTTAAAATTTTAGTTAGATCCTTTTATGTATGTGCCTTTGTTTACGAGGCATTATTAGCTGAAGGATGTTTTAATTTCTTTATTGATAAGTCTAAAACCGGTGAAACCTGAACAGAAGTAGATGTAAGCCATCGGTGAGAACTGAAGCAGTAAGTTATGTTCGAATAGGAGTTCGAATCAAGGATTCCAGCGCTTGTCCCAGCTTTAACTATTTTGCAGGAAACCAAATCCAATCCTCAAACCCCCGGCTGTTCATTAGAGTTAACATCTACCTCAAGCAATAAGTATCGGGTTGGCGATGGACTAACAGGAATTAACCCAAACGTCTTTATA